GTAAACGATTAAGTAGGTATGTAGTCAAACTAGGCATTGTATGCTAGTTCAATCAAAATAGTAAGAAAAAACTATTCAAACACTACCAGCGAATTTGAACAACCTTCATTCAACACGGCAGCGGGGCAGCTCCACTGTTTACGATTTACGATAGTTCACTTCTGTCACTATAGCGTCAATTGAAGCGCAGAAATTTTAGATTGATGACCGCTAAATTATAAAATCGCTTGTTTCTTGTAAAAAGAATATCGTTCCAGAATAAGATTAGATATTAGATGAGTTGCCTCTATATTGAACATTAGATAGAGGAAACAAAGCAATGTCTATCTAACCGGGATTATTTTTATTCATTGCAGAGCAAAACTATTCATCAATCACACATGTGATTTCATTGTCTTCGCTAATGACCTGCTTCACCCTCAAATTTGAGTAGTGAACAAAAGGTAGGTCATCAATGCGTGGCCCAATTTCCCAAAACACCTGATCCACGACAAATGTATCTAGGCATGTATGTATTTACTATTTAGGGCCTTGTAGCCTGTAGGTATGTATGTAGGTACTAGGTACGCATTAGAATCCATTGCACCGCCTGCGCGTTTTTCGGTTATACTGTGCCGCCGTACATAACGGTGCTGCGGCACAGCATGCAGCAGGCGTTTGCTTTTACTGCCATCTAGCGAGCTGTTTATGAATCAAACGCTTCCATGTGAGCCGGTGCGAACTTTGGAAATGAAATATTATACCAGCCAGGTGCCTATTTTGTAAGCGGACTTTCATTGCCTGCCCTTGTTTAGTACGCCTTCGCTTGCGTAGTCTGACCTGATAGTGCTGATGATACATGATCAAACTGAACACTGAGGGGACCGCCCCTGAGGAGCGGTAGCATGGACTTGGCGTTTGGTGGTGGTGGTGACTGGTGGTGGTGGTGGTGGTGGGGGGGGGGGGCACTTGGCAAAGGGGCCTCTGCGCTGACCCGGGGGGGGGGGGGGCGGTGCTAAACCCGCGAGTTGCTGAGGGGGTCAGTGTGTTAAACGCCCCAACATTTTTCGCCCGGCTATAGCGTAAAAACCGGGTCTTCCGAATCCAGTGCGGGGCCCTCAGAGGCATTCCAAGGCTAATCGTGGGACCCGAGAGACAAAAATGAGGCCACCAGAGGCCGGTGTGAGGCCCTCATACGCCGGTTGGGCCCCCGAGGCCGGTTTAGGGGCCCTCAAAGACTCAAAGGTGGGCCTCAAAGGTGGGCCCTCAGAGGTCAACGTGGGTCATCAGCGGTCAATGTTGGTGCTTGACCGCCACTCAGAGGTCAGTGTAGGACCCTCAAAGACCGGTATGGAAGCTGTTAATAGCTGGCGTGGGTTTCTTGAGCCTCGTGACAATCAAATAAGGGCCAAGGCTCCATACGCCCATGGGGGCTCGTCGGTTGTTTGGAGGGAGGGCAAATGATATGATGGCCCCCTGATTTGCCTTTGGGGGGGGCATGGCCCTGTTGCCCCCGCCCCCTGCGACCGCCACTGAAACTGAATGGATTGTGGCACAGACTTCTGATAGAGATGTCTGTGGTTATGGGCATTATGGCCTAAAGACGGCAGTCAGTGAGACGGTCCTCGCCCCGCGGCCGTGGTTCGGTTGTACCGCGGTCACCGGTGGAATCAGCCGGTGGGAAACGGTCGGCGGGTTCGATGAAATTGATGGATAATTATTCTGCCAGCGATTTGAAGTCATTAAATGCGTGTAGTTTTAATTTTACTATTTCATCATGATTAAATCTATGTCAAATCGCACCTACCCTTACATGATAAAACATTGCCTTTGTCTGCAACCAAGATTCCTATTCGATTCTTCTCCTAATTTTGCTGGTCGTGCGACAGTTCTCACGGGGATAAGTATGACGTCATGTATACCAGCATTGTGGAATGACGTTAGAATGGAACGACATCGCCGACCGGTGGGTACAAACTCCAAAGGTTTCTCGCCCGTCAGCGTCCGCCCGTTGTTCTATCGCACGGCCAACTGTTGACACAGGCAGTGTGAGTAACACTCCCGATGATGCCGCTCAAGGAAACAGAGAGTCTGGCCCAGTCCCGCCTCCGAATGCGAAGTGTCGCTTCTGCTAATTGCTGTAGCTGGTGTAGATCCCGGAGAATAAAGCCATGTAGCGAATGATTCCTATGACGAGGATAGCTTCGAGCACTCCACTTCATCGCTTTATTCTGCGCTGCTATTGCTCACGCGCCTTGTCCCGGTTGTCTGTATGCATTGTGCAAACATCCCGTGTGTGACTGAAGTTAGGGGCCGTCCATAAATTACGTTACGTATGATGGGGAAGGGGGGAGGGGGGTTTCGACCGAGCGTAGCGTAACAGACCCAGACCGCAAATAGCGGGAAATGTGGGGTGACGTTCAAATTCAGATTTAGTGCACCGCTTCCCCTTAAATTGGGCAGAATGGTCGGTTTCAATGTAAAATAATGTTGTGTGGAGCATGATATCTCATAAAAAGCGGGAACAGTGAAGTTTTGTCACGTTACGGTTTTCATCAGCGTAACAAGGGGAGGGGAGGGGTTTAGGACTAACGTAACTGTATTAGAATCTTGTGGCCGCCGAGCCACTGCGGCGCCGCCGCCGCCCCGTCCAGGCTCGGGATGAGTTATATGGCATTGTGCCGGGCGGGGCCGGGAGGAGACGGCCGGCGGCACGCGCAGCGCAATTGTAAATTTAAGATATGTCATTTAAGGCACGTAGGCCGCCAAGCTGGCGCCTTCCGTCACCTCTTCGCTGCTGTGCAAGTTCGCACTCGTTTTGGGCGTGTTCTAGACGTTTCGTAGCCTGTTGAATAAAAGGTGGGTCACGTACGACCCCCGGCCAGTCTGGGCCGGCGCGCGACGAAGGCAGCTGGCAATACAACGGTAATGTGGACGTAAGGGGTTTACTACAGTAACTTCAGCGTAACAGGGGGAGAGGGTCAAGAAGTGGCCGAAAAAGCGTGACGTAATTTATGGATGGCCCCTTATTTAGGTATACCTACCGGCCGATCTTTCATCTTTGCTCTTTGTACCTATTAGCACGAAACATATACCTAATAAATTCTTATCTAAGATTCGTCAGAAAGCGGCTGCACAAGCGAGCACGAGTGAGACCCTTATCTTGCCATGCGTTTCTTATGAAGATGAAGGTCTTACCGGTACGTTTTCCATGAAAGACCCAGTCATACTGGGTCCCTTTAACGATGCTTATGGAGGTTGCGATCTCTGGATCTTGGACAAAACGTTGCTGAATGTTGATCCTCTCGAGGCCTAGTGACTGCATTCTTCTTTGGAACAATGTCCGGCAAAGGAAACCTATAGGTAAAATAGGAAATGCAGATACCCAGTCCAATGTCACGTAGTATCGACTAGGCGAATGAATGTATCTATTAACCCGCGCCCGGCTGGGGGTCCTGGATTTCCACGCCCTGCTCGGGGGTGTTTGAACACCCCCCCCTTGTAACTCGGCTCCTGGGCCACGTAGCGATACGCGGAAGGCGGCGTTCGAAAGAGCGTAAAAAATAATGACGAAATCACTTCGGTCAATTTTTTGGTCAGGTCAAAGGTCAGGTCACCAGAGGTCATTGAAGGCAAAATTTCGCCGATTTCCAGGTCGAATGTCGAAAATTTCCAAGAAGCCAACGCATAACTCGGGAACCAATAAAGCTACAGCGCCGCGGAAAAGCGCATTCGATAGCCCTATTAACGCCCTTTCTGAGTAATTCCTCAGATTTGACCTAACGTCAACGGTTTTGCCTGCAGGGGGCAAAAACTGCAAAAATAGCCGATTTTTTCGGAAACAGTTTTTCTGCAATAACTTTTGACCCAAGCCTTGTACGAGCTTACTTTTACCGGCATCGTGTTCCTATCGTCAAGACGCATCGAATGAACTATAACTTGACCTTGAAAGGTCAACTTGAAAATTTGACCTCACGTCAAGGTCATGACCTGACCGGAAAGGGTCATGTTGCATATCAGTCGATCCGTATCGTCAAGCTTAACACATATAAGGCGTTTTCTTCGCTCTAGCATGCCTCTATCAAAAGTTATCTGCAAAAAACTGTTAGATACCATTCGTGACCTAAGATGACCTCAGGGCATAACCAAGGGTCACGGACACCATTTTCATGTTCAGTGTGTCTAAACCACTTGTACTTCGATGTTTGGGAGTGTTTATAATGTCTTTCGTCCAAAAGAGGCGCATTTCAATTTTCTCCCATTGACTTATAATGGGGAGGTCGCAAAATTGACCTGACCTTAGGTCATCGATATCAAAATTCTGAGATATACATTTTGTACATGCTATTGCTTTGAGCAATCGCTCAAAGTTTCAAAGCGATCGGTCACTCGGTGTAGCTATGACAGACATTGAAACTTTTTGAGGTGAGATCACTTCAAGTGACCTGGTGACCTGACCTTGAATGACCTTGGTCTGAAATTTTCACAACATGTGTAGAATTGATGTATGATAAGGTGTACCAAAAACGGCGGCGCTCCGCGCCGCCGTTTTTGAGATATTCGCGAAAAACCACAAGGGGGGGTGTTCAAACACCCCCCCCCCCCAGCAGGGCGCGGGTTAATCCTTAGCCGAGTAGGACCTAAGCTTATGTTGGACAAGACCAAAATTAAATATCGGTTTAAAAGTACCATTATACATTTTTATCCAATTCCACATAGTCCCACCCGTGTGGCCATTGTACCTATGTCTTCGCACGACATTCCCTGTTCAGGCGACGCACATGTGTGCCCATTAATTTGTCACATAATCTAACTTACATGTTCTTCTGACGCGCTACACAAACGCATTTAACGAGCGTGCCACTCACATTTTGGGGGAAATTGACAGTCGGACACATACAGACACACAGACACACATGCGACCACGTGCGGGTGACACCGCCAGCCCAGATTCATGCACCAGAACTATGACGTCGCACTCTGGTAGTATCACGTGACCGTTCCCTCGCGGTGCGGTCGGCGGCGTGCCGATAAAACGGCCGTCGGGGGGCGCCGCAGGGCACACAGCTGGCCGAAGGCGCCCCGGGTCACGACCACAGACAGGGCTCTGCGCTCGGCCAACTGACGACACCATGAGGACGATCCTGCCGCTGCTGCTGGCGGCCTGCCTGGGCTGCGCCGCCGCCACCGAGGTCATCTGTTACTGGGGCTCCTGGAGTCACTACCGCACCGGTGAGCTAACCGAACGGAGTCACTACCGCGGTCACACCGGTGAGCTAATTAGGGAGGTAAGGGAGCCACAATCGCACCGGTGAGCTAGTCAGGAAGCTTATTAGGCTTCTGCTTTTTGCGGCCTAACTGGGCGGCCGACCTGATTCAACAAATAAACTGCAGCTATTTTTGCAAAACCTTGCAAAAACCCGTCTTACCCCACCCCATGGGGTAAGACGGTCACATGGGTAGGGCAAGACAGCCAGCTTCTTTCACCGACCAGCACAGCTCGCAACAAATGCCCGAGATTAGCCGCACTGATACAGTCGCCCGTTGGTCTCAAGTGGTTCGGAACTGGCAGCATACGAGATTCGTGCAGAAGGCGTATGCTCGTATATAGGCCCTAGTTCAGAAGCCATGTAGAACCGTTTTTCACATTCATTATTCGAGAATAAAGTGTGCCGAAGGAATATTGCTAACATGTCTGTGAGTATCGGAATCGAACATATTCTTATTAGAAATGCTTATTTTTTTCCTAACAGCAACAAAAATATTTTCACCATTACAGACACATCGGATTCATAGTTGCCCGTTTTACCCCAAACTCAATGTCAGAAGTTCAGCACGATTTTTCTCTGTGGACAATTTGATGCAGACAACGCAAATCCGCGGTAAATGAACACTGGTGGCATATGTGTGTACCACAAGTGATTGCGAGTTTTTAACTCTATAGTGCTGCACACAAAAGCTTGCACAATAGGTACATTATGGATGTGTTTTTATAAAAGGAGTGTTCTAAAGAAATCAAAATAAAAGATTATCGACTGAACACATGAATTCACCAGACTTCAATGGTGGTGTGTAGTGGGAAAGGCAATTCTGTTCCTAATTTTTCTCGCTCGTAGCGCTATTGGTTTGGTCTGCAGAAGGGGTGCCCGTCTTACCTACCCTGACCGTCTTACCCCACTTTCCCCTATAGGATAATAGGTAACGGTGACTGACGCTAAATGAGCAGCTCACTTAACTACTACCACGCACGGTTATTTAAAAGCGGGAGTTCCTTGAGATCTTTCTGGCTGTCGAGAAGTTCAAGTTGCGGAACGAATGCCACTAATGCAGTGTTTTCCTAATTTTTTTTCGCATGTGCACGAGCTGATTGTCTTGAGATGTAGGTATTTTGATTCGGGTCGCATGAATATCAATTCGAACTTACCATCAAATCATTGCAAAGTTTTCGTTTATTTATGCATTTCACGAGTCACGACTTTTAATCTTTGTTCAATTAACCCTCGCCGGCCGAAAGGGGCGGGTGCCACCCCCGGATTTTTTTTTTCGCGATAGCTCGGAACACGCAGGAGATAGAGAGCTGAAACTTGGCATAACTGCTCCTTGATTCAAAACGGGTCTTGTAACACCAACCCCATTTTCCGGTCAGGTCAGGTCACTGACCTATGACGTCATACGTAAACCTCTGCACGGTTTACAGATGTCGCAACTTCGCAGCGCTCTCAGTGCCACAGCAGCTTTCACAGAGAGATGATACTTACAGAACCTATGTAGTATCATTCAGAGGTTCCACAACTTGTATATCTTGGAATTTTCCTTAAGGTCACATGAGGTTAGGTCGGTCACGTGAACTCACCATTTATAAGTGAATGGGGAAAACTGCTTCTTTGGCACCGGGAATGATTTTACACTATCTCAAGCACATGGAGTCGGGATTTCATGCACTCCTTGCAAGGTCCCAAGCTTCATTTCTGCATTGTTGACCTTGCATGACGTCATGTATGAACTATGACGTCACTAGGGTCACAATAGTTTTTCGTCAATAACTCCCGATCCAAGTGAGCTAGCGATTCGGGGAAGCCACCAATGGACTGGGGAAGACCTGCAGAATCGAATGATATGCAATATGACCTCCTTTGACCAGCTTCGTTACCTGGGAGATTCTGACCTGACCTTTACCTGAGGTCAGCATCTGAACTTGACCTCACACGAAGAAAAAGTACACTATTCGACACGCCTGAGTGAGATGAACACGATGGTGCTAAAATAGCGGCTCTGCGGCCGTTTTTTGCGAAGTTATTTACCAAAAACCGAGCCCGGGCCTTGGGCCGCTTGACCTGACCTCAGAGGTCACCGGTTGACCTGACACCTTTAAATCGGATACTAATCGCTGCGTCCCGTATCGGTGCACACGCTCCTTTTTTCCGCGAGGCTCTAGCTCCATCAGGCGCGAAACAGCGAGGGGGTCCGTACCAGGGTCGTACCCCCCTCGGCCGGCGCGTGTATAGAAAACCAATAGGTCCGGCGAGGATTAGATAGAAGCATCCGTTATAGGTATTGTATTGGTCATACTTCTATTTTAGCTATCTGTGCACCAGCTGTTTTACTATATTGCATACATATGTAATATACCTAATGGTCACTTGATGAATTGCCAGCTTTTTTTTATAAAAAATTGTCGGCATTTCAATACGAAATAATCCCATGCGCTTCCATAGTCCATGCAATAATGCGCTCGGCCGCATCATCCGCTGTTATTAGGCATAGGTACCTTTTAGGTATCTTGGTACCTTTTAGGTATCTTTTAGGTATCTTGTATCCGACTTTTGTTAGTTCAGCTCACGGGAGGTCTTGTTCGCATGAGCTTTATTGGCATTTCCACACTCAACCACGTAAACGACAATCCATCTAAATGTGGTTTACCGGTCCACAGTTCTCGACTATTCATCTGATGTGAACGGCTCCTTGTGTATGCAATCGCATTTACCTAGTACCTACTATACATAACCTGGTACGTTGGGCTATAGAGAACAGACGTAAGAAGTGAGCCGACCGGTACCTATTCGCTCCCGAATTGCATCACGTCCCAGTGACGTCACGACACCTGGGTGAGGGGGTTACACGGAGCCGCTGTCACGGATAAATCAGCCGTTCGGCGCGAATTTCGTCCAGTCAGCGGGTCTGACGTCGGTTCAACCACCTGCGGCGCCACGGCAGGTGTGTGACTTATTGTAAGTACCTACTGGGCGGGTTCCGGTCGGTAGCGGGGCACACCAGGAGGACACTAGCTGAGTCGGCAGTCGCCGGCCGGGAGACTGGGTGGGGACTGAAGATGGCACAGCATAGATCACACCTGTGCTAACTGCTAACCTGTGCTACATGCATGATCAAGGTGTTCATACCAACCGCACGCACATGGAAGGTTCTGTACTATGGGGCTGGTAACTTGCTATGTACTCTTAGGCATAAGGAAACAAGTATAGCTCACTATCATTTCCATCATACACCTATCCGTGCTTCTATCCTCAGGATACTGAAATCCTTCTCCTCCACGCCACAACCCCCTTCCGGGCTGGACAGGCAACTTAATCTCATGCGGGCTGCTCCCTTGGAGCGGCACCGCTGCTCCCGAGGGAGCGCACCCCGTAGCCGGGTGCAGTGAGTGCCTTGGGGCTGGGTGGCCTGTCCTCTGGACGGGCTCAGCCCCGGCGACTCACTAAGGTGCCTGCCCAGACCAATGTCTCCCCCTAAATCCTATCATCCTTCCGGCTCTGCAATGGTCTTGTCGACCGAAAGGGCCTAACCCAACAAAACAAAACAAAAACAAATTTCCATCCAATTGTCCATTAAACATGGGGATGCAGTTCGTCATGGCAATGGCCGTTTCTGTGCTAAGAAACGGATAATCGAATGACAGTCGGAAGATAAACATACCTACCTATATAGCGGGCAAACGATAAGTCATTTACTTAGGCATATACTCCATGAAAAACAAACGGAACAGCTCGCAGCTTGCAGTTGAGGCATGAGTTCTCACCAAATGAGCTTTTGATTATGAGGCAATAACAAAAGCAAAACTTAGCCACTTAGCGAGCTACGGTCACCGCACACGCCCACTCTTGGTACCTATAGTTGGTCTGGGCTCTGTACAACTTGCCATTACATTCGGCCAGGCATAGACGATTGCCGCTGGCGCTTAGCCCACTTATTTTTCAACAAAACACACACAGTAGCAAGAACAGACTTTGTCACAACACAGCACAGATTTTGACACAGTCCCCGCCTGCTACCGCAAGTCCTTATACCACATCCCGTGAATCACAAAACCGACATCGTCATAAATAGTCCATAGTTTCATTTCCTGCTAAGTGAGATGTGTCGGCTGGTCCCTTCGAACCGTTACTCCGTGTAGTCCACATCGCTCGACCGGGACCGGAACCGCGCTGGCCCACGTCCCGTCTCTGAAATCACTCCTCAGACGTGACCGTGACTGTTCCTATATCAGCACCGACACTGAATCACGCTGTGGCCTGTGTGACTTATCCGGCTTACCCAGCTGATTCGGCACATGAGCCGTCTGTTGGAAGAAGACTTACCGAACAGTGTGCGTGTCAACAATCGTCACTTGTGTTTGGACTTCTCTGACTATTCTCGCTGAGAAAACGCCAAGTTCAAACTGAGATTACAGGAATAAGGCGAGAAAAAGTCCACGCGATTTATGAGCGTAACCGTTCAAAGCCGATATTTCCGGCCGATAGGATCACCTGTTTCACAATGGGATTATCGGTTGGTTCTAGGCAAAAAAAAAGCCCTAGGGCTCATTGTTTACAACATGCTTAGAGGGGCATTGGTATAGTTCAGTTAATTGTCGATACATCAATGAATAACGTACCTATACGTTTTTTGTTTGCAGTAACTGCATGTTTAATGTGTATGTGTCCCAAGCGCACATGAGAATCCGAGCACGCGTAGGTAGGTATAACGATATCGGTGATACCTAAATGTAACTCATCTAAGCAGATGGCATGGGTTAACCGACGTCATTGGATTGGGTATTGGTACCTAATAATACCGGACCGAGTATTCATACCTAATTGAACAACATACCTAAAAACACGAGATAAAATTAGCGAGTGACGAGTAGAGTAGCTAATTTAAACGGTCACTAAACGTTAAGCGATTTGTTCTACATAGGTCCATTAGGTAGCCGGTCCATTTACTCAGGTATTCGATAAGGAACGAATAAAGTAACACAGACACCTAATCCTAAATGAATATACTTAAATAAACATCCATTAGCATCGTATCTATTTATGTTGCATTTATCAAAAGACGTCTGATTATTTATTTATTTTCTTTTGCGATCAGCCTTCGCGGGCGTACACTGATAGCAAATTTAAACGGTGGGAAAGTAAGTGAATTATATTAGAACACTATTACTCTCAGTAGCGGCGGAACACCTTCAATTAAGGGGGGCGGGGCACTGCCGACTTTTGGTCCTATTCTTTCCATGCAACGCCCAGGGCTAATGTTAAAATGCCAAAATCAAAGGGGGGCACGGTGCCCCGGTGCCCTCCCCGTTCCGCCGCCTATGATTACTATAGGTACTATCACGCCGGGGGTTTGGACGATACGGGATGAAATGCATTTTGCCTAAGCGCTCTGCCTGATTGCGATGAAATATGATATAAAATGTCCCCTATGATAGCAATCATTTTATATGCTTCTCATAAGCTACAAATTTAAGGTCTTTGTTGTATCGTCTTTGAATTTTTATCAAACATTTTTAAGTGTCATCTATTGGTGCGGTGTTGAAGTTTTGAACGGTTATGTACAGCCCACCGCTAAAGTAATGTAGGGTTTACCAATCTCAACGGTTGGCTTTGACTGGCGATTATGCGGAGTGATCGAAAAGAAGATGTCAATAGCTAAAGTTGCAGCTGCAAGGGTGACGATACATATTAGCTACATTCAAAGTTTCATTGTATAGTCTGGTTAATCGTTCCTAAGCTTCAGAAGCAGAACATATACCCATGACTGAAACCGCACATTACTTCTGCTGTGGACTGTACACGCTCCCGGTTTGGATGCCGCCACGTGGCTCTCACGGCGGGTACTTCTCTTACCCTCAGGGGACGGTCAGGTGACAGTCGATGACCTGGACCCGCACAAGTGCTCCATCTACATCTACGCGTTCGCCAGGCTGAACCCGACTACCTACCAGTTGGACGTGTTCGATTCCTGGCTCGACATCTCGCTCAGGGTGAGAGCTTACATAGTTGGGCTGTACCTATGCAAGGCGCGCAGTTAGATTAGTCGTCCACCGATGTAAAATAACGTCAAAATATGGTTAACCGATGTTATCCCGGCAGTTGCTGGGGTATTTCGCCACCCACCGTTTGCTGGGGGGGGGGGGGGCGTTAAACGCCCCCAGCCGATAACTCGAGAACCAATAGGCGCAGCGAAACGCACGAGGCGGCAAACGAAAGAGCGCGACGAGACGATTCAGATGAGTACTTTAAAGTTGAATTTTGAGGTCACAGGTCGGGTCAAGGTCAGGTCAAACACCTGAAATCGGGCTTTCAGTAGCATGGACTTCAGGACTTCGCAATGGGTGCCTCTCGTCATAAACTCTGTCCAAACGGTGCACAATCCATCATATAAGGCCTACAAGAGTGTCAGCTCCATGTCAGGGTCAGTCAAGCATAGGTCAGGGTCAAGGTCAGGTCAACCGGGTAGGCACATATCCCCGAAAATCAAAACTGATATTCGCAGCCTGTGACACATGTTTTACAGGTAATTTGGGGCGTAGAACACGATGGTGACATTCATTTTGTCATATGTGTACGTGTTTGGCTCAAAAAGTTCAATTTAAGAAATGCATGTATCATGGTCGTGAAGTAGTCACGAAAAATTGCCAAGATTCAGTTCAAGATTATGGAAAATGCGGAACGATAATCAATAATCCAAGATAGCCATTTGATTGATCATGGTATTGGCAGTCTAATGGCGTTTACGGCATGTCTGTATGTCTATTCTGTGATTTTATATGATTTTTTGAACATATGCCGTTTTTGGTCGAAAACACAGAAATCATGACGTCACTAAAACCTCGATATTTCAAAAAATTTCCGACCGATTTTTTTGAAACTTTGTCACAATAAACTTCATTCAATTCCCTACAGGTACCCAAAATTTGGCGCGCCTGCGGCGCGCCGTTTTTATGCTATGGCCCGGCGAAAAAAGTGGGGGCGTTTAACGCCCCCCCCCCCCAGCAACTCGCGGGTTATTACGCATTAGAATTGCAAAACTGCGGCGATTTTTATCTCGATTCTCACGGCGCCGCAGGGCTATGAGAAGTTCGTGGCCATGAAGCAGGCCAACCCGGCGCTGAAGGTGCTGCTGGCCATCGGCGGCTGGAACGAGTCGCTGGACCCCAAGTACTCCACCATGCTGGCCAACCCCTCGCTGCGCCAAGGCTTCGTGTCGAACGCCGTCCAGTTTCTGCAGCAGCACGGCTTCGACGGCCTGGACCTGGACTACGAGTACCCGTCGGCGGCCGACCGGGCCGGGTTCGCCGCCTGGGTGACCGAGCTGCGCGCCGCCTTCCAGCCGCACGGCCTGCTGCTCACCGCCGCCGTCACCGCCAGCGCCGCCAAAATCGACGCCGGGTACGACGTGCCGGCCGTCTCGGCGGCGCTCGACTTCATCAACGTGATGGCGTACGACCTGCACGGCTCGTGGGAGGCCACCGCCGACCACCACGCGCCGCTGCTGCCGCGCGCCTCGGACGCCGGCAGCGGCCTGGACTTGCAGTCCGTGATGGAGGCCTGGAGGAGTCGCGGAGCGCCGGCCGCCAAACTGGCCGTGGGCGTGCCGCTGTACGGTCGCAGCTGGACGGTGCCCGGGGCCGACAAGACGCCGCCCGTGGCCGGGTCCGGCGCCGGTGTGGCCGGGCCGCACACCCAGGAGGCCGGCAGCCTCTCCTACTTCGAGATCTGCAAGAACGTCAACGCCGGCTGGACTGTGGTGCAGGTGGGTCATGTGGCTAAACGTTACATTGGGTGCAGAGGACGGAGGATGGCGGTTGACTCGGAGTGCAGTCATTTAACCTTTCTAAAAGCGCGGAAAGATGAGTGCTCTAAACATAATTGCATCACTGACAAAATCAGCATCTCGTCTGGCCGTGTGTCACTCAACATGTCTCCCGCCGCCCCAGACTGACGTGCCGCTCTGCCGCCGCAGGACCCGACCGGGAAGATCGGGCCGTACGCCTACTCGGGAGACCAATGGGTCGGGTACGACGACACCGCCATGGTGGCCGCCAAGACCCGGTGGGCCGTCAGCCAGGGATTCGGGGCCGTCATGGTCTGGGACGTCAGCTCCGAGGACGTCAGGTACGGAGATAGCTGAGGCCAGGGCAAGGGTGATGGGACAGATAACCCGCGCCGGGCCGGTGCTCTGAGATTCCGCGCCGGGCCGGGGGGTGTCTGAACACCCCCTCTTCTAACTCGGCTCCTGGGCCACGTAGCGACACGCGGTAAGCGGCAGTCGAAAGAACGTCCAAAATAAGGACGAAAACACTTCAGTCATTTTTGGGGTCAGGTCAAAGGTCAGATCACCAGAGGTCACCAAAGGTAAAATGTTGACTATTTCAACAGAAACTGCCAACGGCTATCTCGGGAACCGATAGAGCTACAGCGCCGCGGAAAAGCGCATTCGATAGCCCTTTTACAGACATTTCTGAATAATGTGTTCAGATTTGACCTAAGGTCAACGGTTTAGCCTCCAGAGGGCAAAAACTCCAAAAATAGCCGTTTTTACGAAAAACGTTTTTTCTGCAATAACTTTTGCCTCGAAAGAGCCATGACATTTCTTTTGCCAGCATCGTGTTCCTCTCGTCGAGACGCGTCGAATGAACTATAATTTGACCTTGAAAGGTCAAGGAAAATTTGACCTCAGGTCAAGGTCATGACCTGACCGGTAAAGGTCATGTTGCATATCAGTCGATCCGCAACGTCGAGCCGAACACATCTAAGGCTTTTTCAGCGCTCTAGCACGCCTCTATCAGAAGTTATTAGCGAAAAACTGTTAGATTCTGTTCGTGACCTGAGATGACCTCTGGGACATAATGAGGGGTCACAGTTGCCATTTTCCGATTCAGTGTGTCAATTTTACCTACATCTCGATGTTTGGGAGTGTCTAGAATAGCGTTCGTGCAAAACAGACGCTTTTCAATTTTCTCCCATTGACTTAGGGGAGAGGCCGCAAAATTGACCTTACCTTAGGTCACCGATATCAAAATTCCGAGATATACATTTTATAGATAAGGTTGCTCTAACCAATCGCTGAAAGTTTCAAGGCAATCGATCAATCGGTGTAGCTATGACGAGCATTCATATTTTTTCTGAGGTGAGGTCACTTGGCGTGACCTGGTGACCTGACCTAAGGTGACCTGGGTCTAAAATGTTCACAACATGTGCGGAAAAGATGCACGAACAGGTGTGCCAAAAACGGCGGCGCTCCGCGCCGCCGTTTTTGAGATATCTGCGAAAACCCACAGGGGGGGGGGGGTGTTCAAACACCCCCCCCGGCCCGGCGCGGGATAATAGGTGATGAGTAATTTGGTTAGTGGTGCTTCGGCGGAGAAACACAGCTGCACCACACCATGCACGGATCCGAATGACACCTTTTCTGTTTATGCTCGGGTAGGTATCGGGTTATTTGTGCTGTCAAAATAAGGTATCCAATTAAAAGCGAAAAATGCTACATCGTTTCAGAAACGGTTGCGGCGGTGGCGCGTGGCCGCTGATGTCGGCAATCCAGGCGAACCTCGGCCCGACCACCAGCACCACTACGACCGCCGGCACCACCAGCACCACCACAGCGGGCACCACCACAGCGGGCACCACCACTACGACCGCCGGCACTACAGCTGGAACTACCACCACTGCGGGAACTACGACGACCACTGCGGGAACTACGACCACCACTACCACGGCCGGGCCCGGAGGATCCTGTGAGTATACCGTCCCGAGCTGTCCCGAGGGGCACTCATCACGTGCTCTCGCCTGTTGCGACTTCTGTACAGTTTGTGATGATTACGGCCCATGCCCGCACTCTCATGCCCAAGCCCATGCGCTGTCTGCGGTCCTAACTGTCGTATCCGGTTCCGCTCCATATGCTCGTGTCCCTACAATACGCACAGCACAGTGAGCAGTGTCTCCGTCTTACCTGTTCGGCAGTCCCGTGTCCCTATCACCTGTATAACGACCCCGCCCCTGGCCGGCAGTCTCGTGTCCCTCTCGGTTATGTAACGACCCCGCCCCCGTCCGGCAGTCTCTCGTCCCTATCAGCCGTATAACGACCCGTCCCTGTCCGGCAGTTTCGCGTCCCTATCATCTGTGTAACGACCCGGTCCGGCAGTCTCGTGTCCCTCTCGGTTATGTAACGACCCCACCCCTGTCCGGCAGTCTCGTGTCGCTATCCGCGGTGTAACGACCCTGTCCGGCAGTCTCGTGTCCCTGTCAGTTAGGTACCGCCCCTGGCCGGCAGTCTCGTGTCTCTCAGTTGTGTAACGACCCGGTCCGGCAGTCTCGTGTCTTTATCAGCTGTGTAACGACCCGGTCCGGCAGTCTCGTGTCCCTCTCGGTTGTGTAACGACCCCGCCCCTGGCCGGCAGTCTCGTGCCCCTATCAGTAATGTAACGACCCTGTCCCTCTCCGGCAGTCTCGCGCCCCTATCAGTTGTGTAACGTCCCTGTCCGGCAGTCCCGTGTCCCTATCAGTAATGTAACGACCCTGTCCCTGGCCGGCAGTCTCGTGTCCCTCTCGGTTATGTAACGACCCCGTCCCTGTCCGGCAGTCTCGTGTCCCATCAGTTTTGTAACGACCCCGCCCCCGTCCGGCAGTCCCGTGTCCCTATCAGTAATGTAACGACCCCGTCCCTGTCCGGCAGTCTCGTGTCTCTCAGTTTTGTAACGACCCCACCCCTGTCCGGTAGTCCCGTGTCGCTATCCGCTGTGTAACGACCCCGTCCGGCAGTCTCATGTCCTCAGCTGTATAACCACCTCGTCGTCCCTGGCCGGCAGTCTCGTGTCCCTCTGCGAACGGCCTGTTCCCGGACCCGTACGACTGCCAGAGCTACTACAACTGCGGCCACGGCACGCCGCACCACTACACGTGTCCCAGCGGCACGCTCTTCGACCCGACGGCGCTTAACTGCAACTGGGCCAGCCAAGTGACGTGAGTGGGCCGGGGGAGGAGGGCCGGTCAGATATCTCAGAGGTACACGACAATATGACGGAAACCTTTAATCTCTTCGATTTTTTTTTTTAACCAGGTTTCATAAAGAGGGGTTCGTCTGATGTTCGCATGTCATCATCGACGTAAATCGCTACTGTCCCAGATCCTTTCATCGCTCCTGCCTTCCTAGCCTTGCTCCCAGCGATAACTGAAGTCGACCGTAGCTTCATCCACTATATGACGGCAAGGAATAACTCTACGGTGTTAGGTACTATTTGCAGCCTGCATCATCAGACACCTGCCTGCAAAAAAGGAAGACCGAAGCAAAATGAACCCATTGAACGATGTTCAGGCAGACGACATTCAGGCGAAAGAGAGCAGACAGATTCAATTTGGTTTATTCCATATCCTCGTGAAACAACAGAACAAATCACACTCTCTCGGCCCGACCTCCTCTCTCTTTCCTAGGCTAATTCCTATACACGGACCGCGTCACCCCCTCTACTCAGTCGTCACATCCTCTCCTTTCCTCTCTCGAACAGTCCGGAGCTCATTCGTGTCGCTCCCTCCCTCCTCTGCTCTGTCGGCGCCTCCTCTCCCTCTCTCCGCGACAGTCCAGCCCGCACCAGTCGCCCGTCACTCGGCCGCTGGTTTGCGGGCCATCAGAAGGTAGCTCTGGCGGCGCTCCGTGGCTGACGCCACATCGATTCCACGACTCTGGGCGTCGTTGATGACGGCACACATCTTCTCGCGGGTCCGACGCAGCAGCGAGTCGCCGTCGGCAGCTCCGCGAGCGGCCACCAGCTCCTGGTATCCGGACCAGCTAGCGATCTCGCCTAGCACGAGCTCCAAGGAGAAGGGCCGCTCAATGAAGTAGCTCTCCTCGTCCCACTGAATCTCAGGGTAGGAGATCATCGCCTCCGCCTCATGGGTTTTGGACATTATGTCCCCCAGCAGTGTGGGCATCGGCCAGTGATCGGCCAGGTGCACGTACAGCACCTCCTTGAAAATGTCGTCCAGCTCGGTCCACACAGTGCCGTCGGGCAGTCGGAAGGACGGCTCGTTGTAGCTGTAGATGGCGATCACTCCACCGGGCGCCAGGACCCGGTCAACCTCTGCCAGAAACCGCTCCCGGTCGAACCAGTGGAAGCACACGGAGGCGGTGACCAGGTTCACCGATCCGTCCGGCACCGGGATCTCCTCGGCCGGCGCCACCTGGTAGGTGACGCCGCCGCCGCTCGTGCTGCTGCCGGCCGCCTCTGCCACCTGGGCGGGGCTGATGTCCGTGCCCAGGACCGAGCCAAAGTGCGGCGCCAGCAGCCGGGTGTTCTGGCCGCTGCCGCAACCGACGTCCACGGCTCGGTGCAGGGGTGACGAGCGGCGGACGTACTGCAGCACGTGAGCGATCAGCGCCGCAGGCGGCTCCGGACGGAACTGGGCGTACAGGCGCGCGTGCTGAGAGCCCTCGAACGCACGAAGCATAGCGGCGGTGACGGGCGGTCGGTCAGACGGTAAGAGACGGTCGGTGAGACGGTAAGAGACGGTCGGTGAGACGGTGAGCGGCGGTCGGTGGCTGCAGCAGCTGGCGAGTGACTCAGACTGGTTGTATGCCCGCCGATCAATAGGCTACTGCCTCAGGGGATGGGCGTCGCCCAGGTACGAGCACTGAGGGTTTTTAACGAAACACTGATGAGTGACGACTGGAGCCCTGGACTGTCCTCTGCACCACTGACCCCTCTCCAGTAACTGAAAATGCCTACACTGTAGCCAAGTGGCCGCCCAGACGGCACTGGAGCAGGCCCTGGCCCGCGTCATAATGACATGCCTACATGCCTAGATGTATGAACAGGCTCCGTATAAATGTAACGTATAAATACATGTATTGCTGAAATCAGCACACGATACCGCAGGCGTGACAATGAGAATATAAGCGCTTCGGCCACTTGCAAGTTTTCATTCCGTAATACCGTAAATAGCCGCATCATGGGATTCAATGCATCGCAAGTAAGATTAAACTCTGCTTATCGCCACAGCATGGGCTAGGCGCACGTAGATTTCGTTATGAGACAGGCTCAGTTTAAATAAACACCAGGCCATGTGGGAAATGCGGCAGCTAATTGTTAGCTGTCAATGGATTGCTGCGCCCTTATGCAGAGTAGAGCCATGCTAACAAAAATATGCACAACATCCAATCGCCAGCCAGTAAGATGACTGGACAAAGAGTTATGAGGCGTGATTTTAGGATTTATAATATAGATTTAGGTACAACATACGTAGGAGTGGATAATATAAGAACCTCGCTGCTGTTTGAGACGTAGTTTCAGCGACTCCCACCCAGTGTCGTCAGTATTTTCCTACGTTGACCCTGCATTGTCGCAAACCATTCTACGGTGACCGGCTGTGGCGCTCCACAGGTGCGGGGTGACCTCCGGGGGCGATTCAACCACAACCACCACTACCACGACCACGACGACGACCACCACGGCCGGCAGCGGCGGCTCCGGGACCTGTGAGTTATATGGGGCGGGGGTCGGAGTGTGGAGGGAATGGGGACGGACGTATAGAATGTCCCAATTAGTAATACAGGAGCTGGGATAAGCAGTTGCTCAATTGTTGACCGGTCATTATCGTTCTCTTCAATAACTTCTCTGTCACTGACTTGTTTCATCTGACCACTCGGCTGTTCACCTCGGTTTGACCTGAGGTATGTGTCCCTTCTCTGACCTGACCTCTGTGACCCCTGCCGCAGTCACCTGTCCGTCGCCGACGGGCTGGTTCGCCGACCCGTCCGACTGTCACAGTTTCTACAACTGTTTCAACGGCACGCCGCACCACTACACCTGTCCGGCGGGCACCAGCTGGCAGCAGAGCATCACCAACTGCAACTGGTCGTCCATCACCGGCTGCTGAGCAGCTGCCTCAGCCGGCCGGCAGCCGACAGCTGCGGGGAGCTGCTGCGGTAGACAGAACGACCAGCTGCCGGCTTTGGATCTTTAACAACTCTTTATCAGGGCTCGATCTGTACTTCCATCTGTTTTTATCTTTGTGTTGGTAGTAGTGAGTGGCATACCACGGGAACAAATATGAGGTGATGTAGGGTATCTTTTGATGGAATATCGACGACGAATTAAGCATACTAGTCAAAAGCCGGCATTAGGCACTTTGTCGAACGTGTCGCTATTAGCTCTCATATTGATTGACAATACGTTCATTGTTTGTACTTCGTAGTTTAGCGGTAGTGCCTGCTTGGCGGAACAGTCATCGATTGTATGGTTCATTCGATGGTGACGCGGCCTTGTTCTCATAATGACGTTATCTGCGTGTTAACTACTATCGATCGTCGATCGAGAGCGCTCTGCTCAGTTTGATCCTAACTAGGTCAGTCATCAATGACAAAATCATGCATTATTTGCGATAGTTTTGAAGTCTTTTGTTATGCTATCAAATGTTTGGGAGAATAAAACCTGATCTTCGGTGTGTTTCTAATTATACTTATGTCAGTCCAGCCTGTTTTTTTTTTTTTTTTAGTTAACTATGTGTCGATTTCTGCAGTCGGGTTAGTTATCGATGAAAAATTCTGGCGAGGACAAAATCTGACAACCCTGCCACTAATTCAGCGGAACAAGGGTAATGACAACCAATCATGAACCAGATACACGTACAAGCTTGTCTATTCAATTTCACAACAGTATCAAACGATTGCCATGCGTTCGCAAATGCGGATCCATATAAATTACACTGCAGATCGGTATCACCCCAAGCTGCAAAACTAGAAAAGTAATATAATACAGTATCAAACTGGCATATCTGTGAGCAATAACATCATATAAAAACTTATCTACAGTGGCACAAATAGCTGGTGAGATCCTATTCCTTTGTTCAAATAAGTACCGACACACAAAAGGAACTCGAAAAGGGTTGTAACCTAGGTAATCACGTCCTTCCATCTGGGACGATTAAAGCACTGCACAACTTCGCTGAAGGCACGGATTAGTTTGTCGTAAATCGTCTTCACAAGTATTTTGCCCTACAAATGTCAGTCACACAGAAAACTGAGGGGGATTACGTCCAGTGGGTAGGAACTCGCACTGGGAGCATTATACATTGGGGAAGTAGTGAGCGCCCCCGCAGCCCTGAAGATAGGTATTAGGTATCGCCCCCCCCCCTGCATTGGCTGTAAAGAGCAGCCAAACATTCTACTGGCAAATGTGAAGCTAACGGGAGATAATATCGCTACATAATCACAACAGTTTCATACGTTGTTTTGCACACATATTGTCTCAACACACGATATATCCTGATTAAGGTATTCAACGTTATCATCATTGGTCTGATCATTGCGTCGTCATAAATAGATAAAACTTTACACTAAGGCACAGAAAGGGTTATGTCGTATGCATGCATCTCACCTTTTACGGACCTGGCAGGAAGGGTTCGCAGAAAGACGACAGACCAATTCGTCTGTAGAAGGAAGAACACTACTGGCACTCAGCAGCTCTCAGTGACGTCAGAGTCCTCCAAATGACGTCACAAATCCCACAGCCCGGGCGTGGCGCCGGTCCCGGCTCAGATACCCAGCCGGTCGTAGGCGGGCAGGACGGGCGGCGGCTCGGCCGGCTCGTCAAACAGCCGCTCGTCGGGCTGGCCGCCGGAGCCCGCCGGCGGCGGGGGTGGGGGCGGCTCGGCCTCGCCGGCCATCTCGCGGAACACCTCGCCGGTCTCGGTCTGGTAGAGCGCGGCGCCGTCCTCTGCCAGCGTCTTGTAGACGGTGACGCCCGTCTCTGTGCGGTACACCTCGAGAGGCCAGCTGAGCGCCTCCTCCACACCCGGCACCGGCAGCACGTCCACCATGTAGAACCGGTCGTCGGCCGCCGCCGGCCCCGGCGACACGTGGCCGTCGGCCAGCGCCGCCGCCGCCGCCGCCGAGGTCGGCGACGGCGCGCGCGGCGCCGTCTCGTGCACCTTGGCGTGGTCCCGGAGCGCCTCCCGCCGGCTGAACGACTTGTCACACTCCAGGCACGAGTAGGGCTTCTCGCCCGTGTGCAGGCGCGAGTGACGATTCAGGGTTTTGGCGTGCGCGAATGTCATGGCGCACACCTCGCAGGCAAACGGCCGCTCGCCAGTGTGGGAGCGGCGGTGGTCGCGCAGGTGGGTGCCGTCGCGGAACGTCTTGCCGCACTCCTCGCAGCAGAACTGCCGCTCGCCGCGATGGCCGCGCTTGTGTTTGTACAAATTGGAGACAGTGGTGAAACCCTTTCCACAATCATCACACGTGTAGGGCTTTTCGCCCGAGTGTATCCGCTTGTGAATGTTGAGGTAGTAGGGCGATTTGAACGTCTTACCACAAACCTCGCAGCAGTAGGGTTTGTCCTTGGAGTGGACGCGCCGGTGTATGATGAGGTACGACTGCTGCGCGAACTCGCGGCCGCACTGGTCGCATTTGAACGGTTTGTCACCGGTGTGCAGCCGCCGGTGGTTGATGAGTGTGGTGCGCAGCGCGAACCGGCGCCCGCACACGTCGCACTCGTGCGGCCGCTCGCCGGTGTGCGTGCGCGCGTGGATCTTGATACTGGCCAGGTACTGAAACTGGCGGCTGCAGACGGTACACTGGTACGGCGCCGGACCCTCCACCCGCTGCCAGGGCACGGGGGGCTTGGCCGGCCGCGCCGCCGCCCTGGCCTTGGACGGCGGGCGCCGGCGAGCCCGAGACTTAGCCGGGAGTTGGGTGCCGATCAGCTGGAAAGGACGACCGTTAGACGGTTATATACTGCCGCTTCCCATATTTAACAGATAGCTGATGCAATCGATCGAGTAAAGCAAGATGGGTGGGCCGTGCTTCAGTAGATGATTTCGCTAAGCTGAAATCAGGCGGAAGCAGCAGGAAACGATAAAGGCCCTGGATCGGCCAGAGCAAAACAATTATTGTACCCATTGTATCAAATGCGCTGAGCCTAAGTCGATGTCTCATCATTCCCCATTCTTACCTTGGCTCCTAGGGGCACGCTCGGACCGATAATGTCCGCGTTATTCTCCGGTTCGGTCTCAGCGTCCGGGCCGTCCACTTTAACAGCCAGCGGGTCGTCCTCGTCTGAAAACCGAGCACGCACCCTCGGTGAGAAACAATACATCTAGGCTTAATGATCGAATGTGGGGGAAAGCAATGCGATACAAGATACTAGCTTCCAAATAACTACACCTAAGGAGTGAGTGTACTTAGGAATTTTGTTTCGATAAGATTAAAGGGATTTACCGTGTGGAATTTCTGCCAAAATTCGTTACAGGCCAATTGCAGGAACTATGACGCTAAGCAATATGAATTAGGGTTCAGTGTGAGGGTGGGAGCGGGGCCCGGGGGGGGGGGGTTCTGTACCTGCTCCGTCTGGTTGATGCGAGACGAGTAGAGCCGGGTCATCTGTCAGGGAGGAAGAACCCAGAAACACGTCCTCCTCCCCCTGACCCTCCGCCTGCTCTCTCTGTTTCTCCGGGTCACCGGGCGGGTCCGTCGGGGGTCCCTTCACCTTCCCGGGCTGGTCAGGGTGACAGGATGAGCCAGCGGGGCTCACAGCAGCTCCCGCCGTGCAATCGTCGCTCACACGGACCGCCTGCACCGGTATAATGTTCACTGGAGCCGTCTCCTCTGCGGGTGCCAGCCCGTCTGGGCATGGAGCCACAGTCACAGCCACGGCAGCATTGCTCTCCACCGGGGGCTCCTCCTTTACACTGAGGTGTGCCTCACTGAGACCCGACCGGGCCGCTGTCTGCCCGTTGGTCCGGACAGCGGCAGACGCTGCTGCCTTTTTCCGTCCTGCGGTGGCGAGTCCCCTCAGCTGCCGTCTCAGCCGGTCCACTTGGGCCAAGAGGTCATCGAGGTCCTCCAGTAGGTGGATGCAATTGCCACAGAGGGCATCCTCCTGCTCTGGTGGGGGTCGGTCGGAGAACTCTAAGCTGAGCCGAATGGCTAGGCGCGTCTGCAGTTGTGCCAGCCATCGGGTGGGTTGAGCACACTTTGTACTGCACACCAGGCAAAGTGCAGGCTGAGGACCCTCCATCACTACTGAAACAAGAAGAATAGGTTAAGAGTAGGTACCTACAATTTGGCCCTACTATGACTATGAATCAAAACTTGCAAATTTAAGCAAAGTAGGCATCTTTTGAAATTTAAATATCTCAATCTGAGTGTGTCCAATTTTGTAACATGAGCAATTGAGCATCTAGGATAAAAATAATATCAAAGTTTTAAGAAAAATACTAAGTAAGTTGGTACATAAGTATTTGCAACACAGAAACGGAAAATATTGTTTGTTTTGTTGGGTTAGGTCCTTTCAATTCGGTCCAATGAGACCATTTCAGAGCCAGAAGGTGAAGGATGATAGAAATTAGGGGGAGACATTGGTCTGGGCAGACACCCTAGAGAGTCGTTGGGGCTGAGCCCATCTTGATCTGAATTCTGAATGGACAGGCCGACCAGCCCCCCCCCCCCCAAGCACTTTGCACCCGGCCATAGTGATAGGGTGCACTCCATCGGTAGCAGCGGTGCCGCTCCAATCCAAGGGAACAGCACAGCCCACATGAGATAGAGGTGCCTGTCCAGCCCGGAGTGGGGGTTGTGGCGTAGAGAAGGATTTCAGTATCCTGACTCCTGAGCAAGGCTATAAAAACCCAAGGCCCTAAAACATATATAAACCCAAGTATAAACCCTTGCTCCTGAGGCTCCTGAGGATGGAAGCGATGGAGCGGAGAATGAAAAATTTCAACTACCAGCACAATCACAGTCAGACAACTCCTTCACCATATCATATTGCCACCCGATCACTTACCCAATTTTCTGAAGAAGAAAAACAAGAAAAGTTAGCCTGTGGCCTAGTGCCCATCACATAAACATATCAATATAAACATATAAGGCCTATGCATATCAATTCATAACATGTTCAGAGTTCAGACATATCTGGCGCAGATACGACTCGGATGTCAATATTTATGTTTTGGACCGATGACGTCATTCAATTAGAGGGCAGCTATTGGCTGAATTAAATAGTACATGACCGGAGTCAAATTTCCATTAAATTTCAACATTTTCCCAAATATCTTATTTTACTAGTCTACTCCGGCTTTAAAAATTGTGATCAATGTTTTGATCAAAAGTCAAAAACTCCACTTTTACCTGGCAGGCTATTTTCAGTTACAAAGTAGGTACCTCCATTTCGTACATTCCATGTATTCATGTTCCATAACACAAGTCAAAAATGCGCAGGCAAGTGGCTGGTAAATTGCACACTACTTCTGTACGCTCATACGTCACCAAAACCGCTTGCATCTCATTCGCCCAGCTTAACAGAAACTCGTCAACCACACTCGCGTCTCTGGACGCCGACTAGCTGTCACCGGCGGGTGCCTCTGGGCCACGGGGCGTCACCCGCGCCTGCGCAGCGCCGCAGCCTTATACGCCCCCGGTGAGCGCCGCGCGTGGCGGTCCGCCCCCGACATCGTCCGGCGCGGCTTAAAACAGCCAGTCACTAGGGCTCAGCTCCTATAGGATCACTCTCGAACTCGTACTCGCGCGCACACCGATCACTCTCATGCGCCCTTGGTTTCCTGAGTGGGCGTGGGTTCACTGCCCTTGTTCCAGCCCTGCAGACCCTTTGGCAGCGCCGTGTCCTCCTCGAAGGAGCCGGTGCCCTCCACGAACTCCTCGTAGGTGGATTTCTCCTTGAAGGGCCGCGGCCCGAGCAGCTCGACCATGTCGTCCCGCGCCAGGATCTCCTTCTGCAGCAGCCGCTGCGCCACCTGCGCACACACAGAAAGGCGTGATTTACAGCATACACGCAGTGTTGTCTATCGCGGTGAGAACGGCACCCAGAAACACGGCCTTGAAAACTCACGCGAAAGCAAGACGAAACATGTACACGTAAACACACGATGGATACCATCAGTCCGCCCTCGTCACTTCTTTACATCCCATACAGTAGCTCTCGCAGTTGTGAACATTGTTGAACACCCAAAACATCAGTTGGCAGCCTCGTCACCTTTTCGACGTCGTCCTTGTGTTCGGTGAGCAGCTGCATGGTCCTGTCGAAGGCGCTGCTGATGATGCTGCGCACCTCGCTGTCGATCAGCTGGGCCGTCTCCTCCGAGTACGGCTTGTCCAACACCATGTCGCCCGGCTGCGGCTGCTCGAAGCTGACGTTACCCACCCGGTCGTTCATGCCGAACTGGGTCACCTGAGGACGGCGAGCGGAGGAGGGGCGGAGGGGGGGGGGGAGTTAGCGATGACGGGGACGGCGAGGCGGGACTTCCATCAGATTCAGACGTTTAACGGGGAGCTCGCGAGGTGCCCCTGCGAGTCCTGTGGGTGATGCCCTTTGGAGTGGAAGTGTGGCCAGCGTCGTCCCTCAGAGTCTGATTGGCGCTGCAGAATGCCACGGGTCCTCCGGACATGCGGGCCCCCGAGCCGATGGAGGGGCGACGTGCCCCTGACCCCCCTCCCAGTTACGCCACTGGCAATAGCTGTTCCTGACCTGAGCGTAGGCGCTCTGGGTGACCTTGCGGAGGTCGTCCTGCGCGCCGGTCGTGATCCGGTTGAAGAAGATGTGTTCGGAGACGCGTCCGCCGAGCGTCATGCACATGCGGTCGAGCAGCTGCTCCTTGGTGTAGAGGTACTGCTCCTTGGGCAGGTACTGCGCGTACCCGAGACCTTTACCGCGCGGGATGATCGACACCTGGTGCGGGGGACAAAGAGCGCGGTCAGAAATGGGACGGACGGGTACGAGGACAGTCGACGCTGACTGCTAGACAACGCTAGGTCAGGGGGCAGCTGCAGGGAGGCGCAGTGATGGTTCAGAGGGCAACTGACACAGAATCTCAGACCATTGAAGTCGACGAGCACACTGCAGCTTGAGCTGGAAAATTGTCACGCCTCGTTTCCAGACAGATCACAAGCCAAACAACAAATGCCTCCACAGGTTGCATCTCATTTCCCTCTGTAATTGTCATATTGAGAGTCTCCTCTCCACCTTTCTGCGAGCACAACCCATCGGGTCGCGGAGCTCGGGGCCCCCCACCACCCGCTCCCGTTACCTTGAGCAGTGGGTCGGCGTGCTCGAGGAACCACCCGGCCACGGCGTGTCCGGCCTCGTGGTACGCCACCGTCCGCTTCTCATCTGGCTGGAGAACCTGTGTACCACATACAGAACACACGACTGATCAGTGTGCGGGAGACATCGGCTCACACACAACATAATTAGTATGAGTGACTGTATGACTGTACGGTGAAATGAGCGCCAGTTATAATCCGACGAAGACTGATTTCACGAAATGGGGACATCATCAGGCCGTGACAACCAAGAAAAGCGTAACTCGCATTTTTTCGATTTTGAGATTTTGATACCATTAGATAGAGAATAGCAATCTCCATCTTTCTGCAAAACCGTTTTTCGAAATTCGTATAATTTTTCGAGTTATATCAAATTTTCTTTTTCGAGAAAAGCGTAATTTTTTTCATCCTCCCTGACCGCAAGCAAAAAAAGCGTAACTACAAACGCAGCTATTAAAAAAGCGTATCTGCAGCGGTCAGGACGATGTGATAGGCAAGAAAAGCGCAACTAAGTAGTTGCGCTTTTCTCGCTTATTACCGCGCTGACTTTTACGCACTTGCGCTTTTTTTGCCTTTCAGGTGAGTGCATAACACTTGGTAGAAGTTTAATTTTGCCAGGAAAATTTGCATTAAAAATATATTAAGCCCTTCTTGCTTGCGTTTGCCGCCTTTCTATGTTTCACCAATATCTTCTAGTAGGTATCCGGGCGTTTGAATGGAGGAAAACTGTAAGATAAAAGCAACCAAAGTTCAAAACCACCAACTTGAAATAGTAGGTATAGGTATGGGGTGCCATGCCATACCCTGGACTAAGGCCACACGAGCGATATCAAATAGTTTACTTTATTTATTGTGGTGCATGCTCGCTGTGAACTCTATCAGAAGCGTGTGCAAATTGCGGTTTGGGAGCAGACTTGGTCTCTGAAGAGGTTTAGAACTGAAACGATAAAAAAAAAAAACGGAACAAAGGTCCACGTGCAGCTAAAGGAAAATGTGAAATCAGGAGTAGAGTCGAGCGAGTTCTGGTGAAATAGGACGATCAGGGGCGGGATCTTCCCACCTGCATTTCGACATCCCAGCATTAAGAGAGGCGACCCAACCCCACATGGCCGCCCGGCCAGCCAGCACCGGCAGAGCTGACCATATGGCCGCCCGGCTTGCCCGGTCTGCCAGCCCCGACAGGGGCGACCCAAGGCCGCCCGACCTGCCAGCACTGAAGGAGGCGACCCCAGGGCCACCCGGTCTTGCAGCATCGGCGGAGGTGACCCCACGGCCGCCCGGCTTGCCCGACCTGCCAGCACCGACAGGGGCGAGACCCCAAGGCCTCCTGACCTGCCAGCACCGACAGGGGCGACCCCAAGGCCGCCCGACCTGCCAGTACCGACAGGAGCGACCCCAAGGCCGCCCGACCTGCCAGCACCGGCTTAGGCAACCCAACGGCCCCACGCCCGCCCGGCCTGCCAGCACCGGCAAAGACGACCCCACGGCCGCCTGACCCGTCAGCATCGGCAGAGGTGACCCCACGGCCGCCCGGCTTGCCCGACCTGCCAGCACCAGAAGAGGCGATACAAAGGCCGCCAGGCTTCCCGACCTCCCAGCACCGACAGGGGCGACCCCAAGGGAGCCTGACCTGCCAGCACCGGCAGAGGTGACCCCACGGCCGCCCGGCTTGCCCGACCTGCCAGCACCGGCAGAGGCGACACCACGGCTGCCCGGCCTGCCAGCAACGGCAGAGGCTACCCCAAGGCCGCCAGGCCTGCCAGCACCGGCAGAGGCGACAACGTGGCCGCCCGGCCTGCCCGACCTGCCAGCACCGGCAGAGGCGACCCGACGGCCGCCCGACCCGCCAGCACCGGCCACGGGTGGAGAATTGTGCTGGACTGGGGGTGCTCGAGCTCTCCCAATTCCACGCCGGCCACGCCGGCTTGGCTTTGGAGCCGCGGCCGGGCGGCGCGGGTCAAGGTCACCGCTAGGCGGCGGCGGATTTGCTGCGCCCGAGCACCCCCAGCTGGTCACAATTCTCCACCTATGGCACCGGCAGAGCTGACCATACGGCCGCCCTGCTTGCCCGACCTTCCAGCACCGACAGGGGCGAGACCCCAAGGCCTCCTGACCTGCCAGCACCGACAGGGGCGACCCCAAGGCCGCCCGACCTGCCAGCACCGACAGGGGCGACCCCAAGGCCGCCCGACCTGCCAGCACCGGCATAGGCGACCCAACGGCACCACGGCCGCCCGGCCTGCCATCACAGACAGATGAAACCCCGTGGCCACCCGGCCTGCCAGCACGAAATGAGGCGACCCCACGGCCGCCCGACCTGCCAGCACCGGCAGAGTTGAGCCCACGCCCTCCCGGCCTGCCAGCACCGGCAAAGACGACCCCACGGCCGCCTGACCCGCCAGCATCGGCAGAGGTGACCCCACGGCCGCCCGGCTTGCCCGACCTGCCAGCACCAGAAGAGGCGACACCACGGCTGCCCGGCCTGCCAGCAACGGCAGAGGCTACCCCAAGCAGTGGCGGATCCAGGATTTTCACTGGGGAGGGGCTGCAGGTCATAATTGGGCGCCACGCCCCGGATGGGCGCCATAGTCGCATCGTATTGGCGCTGAAATATTGGCGCCCAGTGGCCCTGACAAGAGGCGCCCAGGATCAGTATGTACAGTGACACCACACGATTGGAAATATCGGTGCGGAGCGTACTGAAACGACGTTATTCGACTGATTTTTGCATCCTAGTCCTAGTATGCGGCAATCCGATGAGTTGCGAATTGAAAATTGGCGCCACTGCGCCTTCGGCGCAGTGGCGCCAGTTTTCCTTGGGTGGGGGCTGCCAGCCCCCGCAGCCCCCCCCCTGGATCCGCCACTGACCCCAAGGCCGCCAGGCCTGCCAGCACCGGCAGAGGTGACCCCACG